AAATTAGTCTTGAATACTCCTGACTCATGTGTAAAATTAATCTTGACTACTCCTGACTCATGTGTAAAATTAATCTTGAATACTCCTGACTCATGTGTAAAATTAATCTTGACTACTCCTGACTCATTTGTAAAATTAATCTTGAATACTCCCGACTCATTTGAAAAATTAATCTTGACTACTCCTGACTCGTTTGTAAAATTAATCTTGAATACTCCTGACTCATGTGTAAAATTAATCTTGACTACTACTGACTCATGTGTAAAATTTATCTTCACTACTCTGGACTTATCTGTTGAAACTAATCTCAGCTTCTATTAATTCATCTGTGAGGTATTTGCCACTACTGATGTCAAAAATTATAATAATCACTCTTTATTTTTCAACAATTAGACAGTATGAGTTGGTTGTTATCATATGACTAATAAAATACTTTGTTTGATTGACCTTATATTTTTGCTATTATATTATTCAAATTTCTAATAACATTAGACATTAACAATTTTCTTAAACTACAATTCTACAAGTTAAAAAAATTAACTGTTTTTTGTGTGTGAACCTCTATAAGTTTATCATACATTATAAATTGACATTTGAAGCATTCATGAATGTTGAAAAGTAACCACCAACATGTTCTGCAACTGATATTGATAATTTTGTAATTGTATATTGTAACCCAAAACATTTAGCAGATATTTTTCATTTAGAATATTAAGTAAATAAAATTTCTACTAATTATTTTCATATTATACATAATTAGATATGCCTATGCTCCACAAATACTTACATTTTAAAACTTATAATAAATGGTCTTACCACAAGCACAAATATTTCATCAGACAACATCAATTAACTTTTTCAAATCAGTCCAGATGTAGGATAGCCTCATACAAATTACTGGTACTACCATAAGTACTACCAAACTAGCATATTTACAGTCAGTTTGCTGGTATTGGTAATATTTTATTAAAATTATGCTACAGCCCCATACACCTTGTGCAGTTGAATTCTGTGTATTGCATTTAATAACTGATATTACAATTATATTAAAGTATTGTAATATTAACTTACCATTAGTATTAACATAACATAATATTTTGAGACAGTATGGGACCTATTGGTCCATCTCGGCAGTCCCATCCTAAATTAAGATGATTAAAAAATAATAATAATAATAAAATTTTAAACCCAACCCTTATCATTCATATACTTATCAAGCTTTTTCTTAAACT